AATATTTCACGTGAAAGCTGCCTGGGGCGTGTGAGGCCGCTGACGCTCACAATAGGAGTCCAGGCAGCGATGGGTGAGCACCTAACGTATGGGTGAGCACCTAACGTATAGGTGAGCACATTTCACGGGCCGTGAGCTGGCTGTCCACTGCTCCCCTATACAAGGCCTACAAGGCTACACGACAGCACGGTCAGACAGTTTGTGTGGTCGCTGCACGCACCAATACATGCTCGCAATTCAGACTCACTTCCATCCATGCAGACGATTCCATAAAGTACACTCAGACACTCATAAACATATTACCAATACACATCTATAAACAAACACACATACGCATTCATAAACATATTACACATACGCACTCATATTATCAACATACACACAGGCGCTCTCATAAACACACAGACCACTCATAACGGCGTGCGATTAGACTTAACCAGGACTATTAAATGTAGTAGTAAGTAACAACGAGCGAGCCGTTCACCCCCCCCCCCTCCCCCAACCATCACCACCACCCACCTACGAGCAAGATTAACATTCTTTCGCACCGCCACTGGGTGACTGGACGCACCATTTGGTTCACCACTGACTCAGCCAATCGGACTACAGCTAGGCGATCATGACCGTCTAGGACTACAGCCTACAGTACAGCCCACGGTCAGTCACAGTACAGTCACACTCACAGCATACAGCCCACGGTCACAGCAAGCCGGTAGAGGCGAGCAGAATCCGGTTATACTATCGGGATAACCGGATAATTCTCAATGAAACATTGTCCGAATTCAGACTCTTAACTCTCTTTCCTGACCCGTTTGCCGAAGTGGGTGCACCCATTTATTGAAGTGATGCTAACCCGTTTGTCGAAGTGGTTCTAACCCATTTGCCGAAGCAGTTTATAACATTATTTGCCGTCGAGGTGCACGAACATATTATCCCGATTTTGCTAAAAGTGATTCATTGCCCAGCCCTACAAGCCGGACTGCCCCACACCACCAGCTGCAAAGTAAAGTCACAGCCACAGCGTGGCGAGGAGCACCAGATTGATTCAACAAAAACCCACCGGAACTGTTTAGCATTTTAAATTAGCAATATAGTGTTTTACGGCACTTGCAACACCACAATTAGGTCATGCGAGTGCCGAAGATTAGAGAGTGTTACTGAAAGCGTAACGTACAAAGAAAAGAAAGAAGGAGAGATGCGGACTAGAATCTAGATCTACATATTATGTTATAGTTTTAGTAAATGTCTTACTGCACTTGCAACACAATTATGTAGGTCATAAAAGTGCCGAAGATCAGAGGTGTTACAAGAGAGTAACATACACAAAAAGGAGGAGAGATCAGGATGGTAGATGTTTGACTTAGGAAAGAAGACGCAAACCACACTAGATCACCCGCCAACCACCCATCCACCCAGGACAGGAGATGGAGGACACCAACTTGACGAGCTCACCAGCGACTCCACCCACGGACCGCGGACCAGTTGCCCGTGACCCTAGCCTTCTAAAACTGAAACATCCCAAGAATGCAAGCTGGCTGTATGCTAATGAGAGCAACTTGGCCGAGCACGAATACAAGGAACAAGGTCGACTGGGGTGGGGGGGAGGAGGACGGAGAAGACATACAGAGAGAGAGAGAGAGAGAGAGAGAGAGAGAGAGAGAGAGAGAGAGAGAGAGAGAGAGGAAGAAGAAGAAGAAGAAAGGGGATAGGCTAATATCTTTGTATTTAGATGGCATCTGTCAATGACATTTCTGATACAGCTAGCCGTTCTTCAAAGAAAACCGCGGAGTGATATAATACTACGGGAATCACAGACGAAAGGACAAGAAAAGGAAGCAATTCAGAACGAGAGGTTAAAAAAACCAAAGCCACAAACAAACAAACAAAAACTCAGACAAAGATATGACACGACGGAAGGCGAGAAAAAAAAAAGAAACTCATGCATGCATATTAACACAGCCATGTATAGAGATACATGTATACATAATACAAAAGATAAGCTGAAAGACAGGGAGAGAAAGGCAGAGTGGAGAGAGAGAGAGAGAGAGAGAGAGAGAGAGAGAGAGAGAGAGAGAGAGAGAGAGAGAGAGAGAGAGAGGG